GGGTGGCATGGCGTACGTGGCCGCGGTTCCGGCGGAGTAGGTGGCGCCGATGGTGGTGGCGGATGTGGGAAGCGAGGTGCTTCCGGGGAGGAGAGAGAGGGTGAAGAGAAGGGCGGTGAGAGAGAGAAAGAAGTAGGAGGACATGGTTATGGAGCTTTGGGGGGAGTTTCTTGTGGTTTGAATGGAATTGAAAATGAGGGGACAGAGTCTTGAAAGGTGTGATGTGGAAGATAGTTATTAGTTAGTTAAGCTGTTGGAGGAGAGCTTTGGCGCGGGAATTGAGTTTTTTGTGTGTGCGAGAAGGGAAAAGAGCCGGGGGGGGGTAGTGCGCACTGGGTGTAAGTTAGTTGAGAGGAGGCTGTTAGTGTCATGCGCCCACGTGATTTGAGGCGGTGAATGGAATGCTGGGCTTGTTTGTATTAAATTGATGGACCGGATATGGCTTGCGGATAGACTTCCAACGTTCAGCCCAGGCCCAGTATCAATATGCATTTGCTTTAGACAAATTTTTCTTAATAAAGAATTGATCTAATTCCTAATAACTGATAAATGTTTTAGTTTCCTTATCATTTGATAGGTACTTCTCTTTCCAATATTGAAAGAAATCCGAGTTCGAATCCTCCAACCCACTAATAAAAAAGGACATCAATTAAATTGGTCGAGATTTATTTATTAGTTAAATTTATACATGGCATCACTCTATTGCCCCCGTTCTCTTGAGCTTACATGTATTAGCTTCTTATCAGCTATATTGTGAATTTCTCATTGTTTTTTGTTGAATTTAGCTCAACCATTTTTCGATCATTTGATGAAGCACATTGCTACAAGTGATCAAGTGACGATTAAAATGGGGAGAAATTCAGGGGTCATATTCAAATACAATCCAACTGCCAATATAGACAATGTTGTATGTTATCAAGAGTCATATTCACATCTGCAAGTCATCTCCTTCTGTACACAACAAGACTAAACTTTTCTCCCACATGATCATTGGGCAACCTGCATCACAAAACCATGGATTATAAACATTAAAATTCTTTCACAATGATACCTCTACAGAGGAATTTAGGCGAAATGAATAAATAGCAGAAGCACAGTAAAGCACCGAGACTTGAGGGCAGCCCTACCCAAATTAAGTCCCAACTGTTTCACATAATATTATTGACTACCAAATTGGATCAAGTAGCCTACAAGGCATGGCTACATTGTTAAATTCTCTTTCACCTTGATCCTATGCTGAGAAGTGCGGTGAAATTATAGCATATCTGCTGCATGAAAAGGTAACTTACCCTTGTTGTTTTTGTTTCACCCAAAGAGGGAACAATGCTTGCCAAGTTTGGATCATCTCTGTGCTTACCCCAGACTGTTTCAAACTGCAGACCTTTGCATCTGGGAATCACAGGAATTTAAATAAATAAATGATAATCAAGGTGGAGGTTCATGTAATTGCTGTATGAATATGGGGAGAAGGCATAATCCTTACTGGTGGAGCAGGATCAGTATCCGAATAACAAGATTTCTAATTTCTTCACGAGACCTTTTCAATGCTGCTTCCTTGTACAAAGCAGCAAGTTCATCCACCAACCTGAAACCAAGCAATGAATTAAATAATACCCAAAATAAGGGATTCCATGTTTGATGTTAAAGATTACATGCATGGAGTCAAAACTCAGCAGCAAAGACAGGGAAAGGGTAAGTTAATAACTTGAAGCAGAAATGGCTGCAAACTGGAAGTGGAGTAGGTTCTGAAGCAGGATTTAAGATATTCAAACCCATCTTCATCCATGATCGCCAAAATTCAGGTTAATAAGAAACCAGTAACTAGCAAATAGCCTACTTGGAAGCCAGTCTATATTGAACTACCTTCCTCAACAACCTTCTAGACGGAACTAGTCTGACTCCACTCTTCCCCTATATGAGCCCTTGGTTTGGAAGAAAATAGAAACTATTACTATGGATTGTAAGAGTGTTCATCAATTGGCTTGTTTACCTTTCCACATACTGTGTGTTCCTAATCCACGTTAACTTTATAATTGTTTCAATCTGTTTGAGAACCTGCAAATAATAAAAAGAGGAAAAATTTCAAAATTATTAATATAAATTATAATTTCAAAATAACAGATTTATAGCAAGCCCTAGAATCAAAAGATCGGTGGGAGAAGCCATATCTCTAGAATTTGTGCAAAAGTGTAGACCAAGTGTTGAACATTATACTTAGCCTAGGGGTTAAAGCTTTCGCACATGGTACTGAAAGCCAATCCTAATTTATCATCAACCAATACTAACATTGAACCATAACTCACTGCAACAACCCATCAAGACATGCACACTAAAGATTATAATTTTGATGAGGAAGATGCTCTCACCAGTAAAACAGTCTCGTCATCATCAGCATGCATCCACTGAAAGAAAAGAGGGAAAATGCGCCTGAAATGAGCTAGTAACACCAGACCAACACCATTAAAAAGTGGCTCTATATGACGAAGCCATGCAACACGGCACTCCTTGTTCCTAGGTTGGCGCTCCAAGTGACTTAACATCTCGTTTAGCATCCTATCAAACCTATAATATATTGGAAAGGCTATTTATTATTGTGATAAAACATGCAATAAGTTAATAACTCAACAATCAGAAGATGTAAAATGAAGTGTCGAGGTTGAAGTAACCAAGGCAGGCAATAAACACTAGCATTTGAACCATTTAACAACAGTTAAATGTATGACTCAATTACAACAACAGAGCACGAACTCATCAAATCCAATGTACAAGGGAAAAACTTGATAATTGCAGTTTGCTCGAACGAGATAGTTATCAAAACCAAGTGGAATCTCAAAGTCAAAAACTTAAACTAGTCCATTATTGGCAGCGGTGATATAGAGAATTTTTTATATGCTGTCAACTTTCTATGAAGATGTCACTGTCCATCAGAATGATTATAAACCTCACACATGTTCCTTCAGTTTTCAACCAACCTCCACAAGAACAAAGAAACATGAACAATCACAAAGCACAGGGAAAAACAAGTATACCATGCACTACGAGGATTACTTTGCTGGGTACAAGTCACAATAAGTACGGACATCTCCACCACAAGATGCCATATCTCATCACTAGAAGCAATATTCTGGCAGCATGCATCAAGAATCACATCTTGATACCAACCAAGCTCAGCAGCATAAACATTTTTCGCAATATGTATAAAGCTAAGCATGCCCTGCCCCTGAAACAAAGCATAAAAGAGGAGCATCATCCATCTGCCTTAGCACACATATACTTGCTACATTACAAAGCAACTGATTCATGGAAGTTTAAACACAACGAAAATCGAAAGCCAAACAGGAATGCACAGTAAACACATACTTTGATCTCAGGGGACCAGTGATCGAGAGCCGTTAAAGCACAAGGAATAACCAAAGCAGACAACTTTCCCAAATGAGGATAATCAATCTACAAAACAAGGATAAACCAATCGTATCATTAACAATAACAAGCGCCAAATTTTAATTCACCATCTAAAAAGAACAAATAAATGAATTCACACCTGTGTAACAAACCACCTAAACTGATAAGCAGCCGCAATGGCAAAGCCAACGGGCACTCTCGCTGAGGCCGCTGAGACCTCATCGCAATCTTCCGATTTATCGATGGAGCTCTCCTTAATCCTGTTCTTCAACAATGGAAGAACCTCAGGCATCAATTCTATCAGTAACCTCTTCTCCTCAGGAACCGAACCACAATTTAATCCCAATTCAGAAAGCTTCTCGTTATTCTTTTTACTGTAAGCCATGGAATATGCTTTTGAAAGTTTGAGAAAGGCCAAGTCTGCAGCGACCGAGAGGTGTATGGGGATCCATGAGAGGAGGTCGTGGACTGAGGATTGAGAGGAGGAGAGTAAGGCACAGGCGAAGGTGAAGTCCCTGATTGAGGAGTGGAGTTGAGTGTCGTTGAAGTTAGGGCTTGGTGGAGATTGTTTGTGAGGGAGGAGAGGTTCCAGTAGGGCTTTCAAGGAGACGTTGGTGCCCTCTGGTTGAGTGCACTGAGCTTTGCTCAGATATTCGGAGATTGGCTCCGATAATCTGAAAAATTACAGGCAAGCAAGGTTAGACAAAATTAATTAATAAAATTTGAGAAGGAGAGAACTTGGAGCTTACTGGATGAGAAGCTCGCTGAGGGTTGAGGACGATTCCGACATTTCCGACTCGGTTCGCCGTCAGAGCTCTCAACTATTTTACTTCCTGCTTCTGAATTAGCTTGATTGATTTCGGAGGTAAAAGGGTGCGACTCGACGTCGTTTTTCGGGTTTGTTCAGCAAACGGCATGGCGTTGACAAGCCAATGTCAAAGCAGAACGGCCATTACAAAAGTCGAGCTTGAGATTCCTGCAATTAAATTGAGAGAAATATCGACGAAAAGAAAGGTTGAGACAAATATCATTTGACCAAAGGGTAATTCCTTTAAGGGAGTTTCACTAAAACACCCAAAATAGAAGTTGAAATTATAAAAAAATTCAAGCACTATTTAAACATATAAACACACCCAAAACTCATCATTACACACACTCAAAACCCATTTATAAACACACCCAAAAAGTTGACTTTGGGATTGATTTTGGGTGTGTTTCTATGTTTAAATAGTGCTTGGGTTTTTTTATAAATACATGTCTAGGATTGGGTTTATTTATAAATTTGTATTCCTTTAATTTGACCCAATTTAATTTAACTTATTTAAAATTTGTTATAAAATTAACTAAACTCAACCAAATCAACTTATATTATTTTGAATCGATATATAATCCCTAAATTTATTGCCGAGTTTTATTATGTTCTTTTAACTTTGTCATTTATGCCAACTTAGTTATTTTTCACATTTTTCTTCAATTTTAATTACGTGACGTATGTTTTAGGGGTAAACCCGAAATTTGAGTCCATTGCAAGCGATCAAAGGCAAAATTATGGCTAAATAAGGGTTTTATTGATGAATTATGGTTTGATTTAGGAGATTTTGGTGAATTAGGGTTGTAATTTTAGGGACATATAGGTGAATTGGGGTTTCAATTGGGAGAAATGGGTGGTAGTGAGCTGGTAAGTTGTTTTAGAATATACTTGTGTTATAGACATGGGCTTAAGCAAGTTGGTTAAAGCATATGTGCTCCTCATTATGCACTCGAATTCGAATCTCTCTCCCCATAGTTTAGATTAGTTTAAAGTGACGGAGTGACTGAATTGACACAAATGAGAGAGTTGAATTACCAAAATGGCACAAAAATTAATTGAATGACCAAAATGGAACTTGGATATAAATTCAGGGTATTGCGTTAAAATATTCGCCGCACTTAAAAAAAATAAAAATAAAATAGAAACTTCATTAGATAAACTTTAACGATACAATCAAAGACATTTAAAATACCAATTTCAAGAGGGTAACAAACTAACATGCTAAAAACAAAACTAACACAGACAAAAGTTGCACTAAAACTATCAGCCTACATCACCATAATTAACCATAAGTCCAAACAAACCCAACATAACCAAAACCCTAAAACAACCCATGAGCCTAGACGAACCCTACCATAAATACTTGAGCAAGCACCGTCACGGCCACACCCACCACCTTATTCGTAACATATTTGGAAAAAATATGATTTTCAGTTATCTACCTGTGCATAAGAGTGAACAAATAAATGAGACAACAACTTTGCCCAAAAACAATTGGGTGATTTGCAGCAACCTCCGTCAAAGGTGATGTAGAATCAAATTTAGAGAACATGAGCGGCGTTAGGGATCAGGATTTGATTAAAAACATGGACTAAAAGGGTGATGGGGAACTTCAATCTAACTATGGCTCAGAAGAAACCACCATAATAGGTTTTTTTTCAGAACGCCCCAGTGGACTTATTCACTAGCCTAAAAGGAAAAGAGAAGAAGAGAGAAGGGGTAGTGAAGCTTCTTCCTCCTCTCCCTCTATGGAGTTTTCCTTTATGACTCACAAGGGGAGAGAACGACTAGGGTTTCTTTGGACTAATATTTGTCGCACTTGACATTTCTCTTATTTATTGTTAAAACTTAAAAGTTAATACCAACAATTAAAATCTCTAAAATAATTGAATTTAAAGCTATCTTTATCAAAAAAAAATATATTTCAAATAGTAAAACTTCTATCAACTAACATTTTAATTTACACCTTTGAGACCAATTATGATTGTCGTGGGTTGAGGTAATAATAAAAGGCCATAATGTTGTAGTTCAAGCGTGGCCCGTCCATCTTTCAACTCACCATTGAAGATTTTGTTAAAACAACAGTGTTAGTTGTGACTGAGAAGAACAATCCATGGACCCAGCTAGCTTATCCAACTCATTGGCCACCGCCAGCAAAGCTGTAAATTAAATTTTGTACCGAATAATTCCAGGCAACGAAAATTACCATCCACTCCCTCGTAAAATGAAAAAAAATTAACAACTGACCTCAAGTATCTTTGAAAAATAATAATTATATTGAGAGGAAAGAAATCATGGAGTTTCGATCCTGGTGTCAATTAGAAGAAGAAAAGAACTACAGCCATTGTAGTAACACCGCTGAATACCTCAAGTACGTATTTGATTATATTTCCAAATCTCATGTAAAATATTTTCTGAATAAATTAATTAAAAACTCTCAGATATAAACATTTTTTAACAGAGAGGCAATGGATCTTACGTTCTCTTAGGAATGAGATGCTATGTTGAGTGCACGTAATTGGATAAATATTATGTTAGGCTCAGCTTAGAAAATTCGTTATATTGCCACCCAAAAAGTTGCTTTCTTCTGTTTTTTTCATTTGTTGGTAACCATTTTGTCCTTTACTAGTTCAGGCATTTTCTTCTGGCTAAATTAGTAGGTAAATTACGATGTTACCCAATGTTGTGGTGCAACAAGAGCCCCGTAAAATTATAAAAAGTTCTATTACGTTACTGCACTCAAGTACAATCCTAATTTATGCATTTAATTATCCTCTCTATTGTACTTAAATTCCATTTAAGTTGTTCACAACAATTTCATCCACAAATTACTTTACTAAAAATGAAAAGTTTGCAACTTGTATGTTGCTATGGATACAGACTTTTCTGAAACAGGAATAATACTATTTTGTTATTTTCGACTAATAATAGTATGATACGAGAGAAAATATTTTCACCTGACATAGCATTATTAGCTATAAATAACAAAACAGTAATTTCTCCGTTGTAACTAAGTTGTTCTCGTTTCCATGGGGCACAATGTACCTATAGGTTTATCCTGTTATAGATGATGATAAATTAGGCTAGGCGCGTTGGCCCGAAAGGATTCTTTGTTACTTTTTGTTGGTTTTTAGGTTCGTCCCACATAACAAAGAAAGGGCATATTAAGGGTGAAAGTAAATACTAATTTTAAATTAAAAGAAAAAAAATGGGACATGGAAAATAAGAAGAGGGGTCAACGTGTAAATTTGCAGCCAAAAGAGGGCGAAAAAAGCCGCGTAATTGAGTCGTTGAACTTGAACAAAGACAAAGTGGAGCCAAAGTGTCGCCAGCGCGGATATTTTTATTCCATTTTATTCATAACGCCTAAAAATCTCTAATTGGATTTGGGGGGGTCGCGAATATAATTTCATCGTCGTCATCCACCACTACGCTGTATCCGCTCGCTGCAAAAAGTGCTCGCCATCTCCTCCTTTCTCCAGTACGCCAGGACCCATTTACTTATTGTTCCTCTCATTTCATCTTTCAAAATCTTTTCTTTTTTCTGTTTCCATTTTTCATTTATTGAGATTTTCAAGCTCACTCAATCAGCCTTAAAGATCCACCATTTTCTCACTTTATTCAAAGGGTACGCTTTTTCCTGACCCATAAGAATTCTGTTGACTTCATTTCACCATCTCTGCTGCCAGATCCTCATTCATTTGTTCTTGCATTCTTGTGTGGGGTGTGTTTAAGGTTGGATCAGAGATTTTTGTTCTTAAAATAAAAAATAAAAATCAGCTATTTGTGTTCCATGGGCTTTTAGATCGGTTTCTCAGAAAGTTGAGCAAAAAAGATTTGATTTTTTTTTTGGTTGGGTTTTTCTGTAGATTTGTTGTTAAAGCTGCCAAATTGTGTAACTTTGAGGTTTTACCTCCTCCGAGTCAAAATAGTTGCGTATGTGGCTTCAGCTAAATTTTGACGTTTCAATGAATCACTGTAGTTTAAAATTTTCATCTTTTATTTTATAGTTTCTCAGGAATCAAGCAGAGCTCATTTTATTCTCAATTTCACTTCATCTGACTGCCATTTTCCCCTCTGGTTGATTGTTCATTGCAGATAGAAGGTTGAGAGGAAAGCCAAAATCTGCGTCGAAGCCTGTGGTGATATTGGATAATAGAGAAGAATCAGATCTAAAAGCATAAAGAAGCATGTCTTTCATTGGCACCCAGCAGAAATGCAAGGCTTGTGAAAAGACAGTTTACCCAGTAGAGGAACTCTCTGCGGATGGTGTGTCCTACCACAAGGCTTGCTTCAAATGCACCCACTGCAAAGGGACTTTGAAGGTACTCAACCATCTATTGTGGCTCATTTTCTGCTTTTGTTGTTGATTTTCAGTCTGAGTCGTGTAACTTGGATGCATCATTTTGATTAGATTGAAATCAAATTGGATATGTTTTATCCCTTGTCTTCTGCTACATTTTTTCGCTGAGCATTATTGATTTACTGTTACTTCCTACTGGATAGGGATTGCTATATTCGAGGATTCTTAGAACAATGCAAATGAGTATAGTGAAAAATAAACAATAATCTCGTGTATGAACTAATATTTTGCTTTGTTTTTTTTTTTTTGTTTTTTTTTTTCCAACTTAATTAGAATGCCTTTTTTTTTTTGTGTGGGATTTTTCGTACAATACAAAGGGTATGGTAGTATATAGGATTATTTGTGCCGTAAAGCTGAATCCTTTTTTATTAAGATATGCAACTTATAGAGTTGTTTATGGAAGTTCCTTCCTTGTTGTTAAGCTTTTGCAATTTTTATGTTTACAGCTGAGCAATTATTCCTCAATGGAAGGTGTTCTGTACTGTAAGCCCCACTTCGAACAACTCTTCAAGGAGACTGGCAATTTCAACAAGAACTTTCAGTCACGTATGTCTTTCTCTTTTCACTGATGAAGTCCACCTTTGATAAATTTTTTTGTGGTTTCTTGATTACCATTTTAATGTGCAACAGCTGCAAAGTCAGCTGAGAAGTTAACTCCAGAGCTGGTAAATTTTTCTGACAACATTACATTACGTCAAACTTAATTTTGTGTGAACAAATATTTCTTATGCTGTCTATTGGTTGGTGTTAAGAC